AATCTATCCATCTTCCAAACTATTCATGTAACGCATCAAATCGTGTACGTATAAAGTGGCATAGCTCTCCGATTAAGATATCGTTTATTTGAATCTCAGTTCCAACAGAGCGATTTGACAGATATGCCCAACATGAGAACAGTAATAATGGAGATGGCGAGAAACTCACCAATCGATTGATTCTGTTCGAACGACTTCAAAACAAATGACTTGACTAGCATCGAGTGAAGGTTTGGCACGTAGTAGGCTAAATTCGATGAGCGATTGCCAATAACAGTACCTGGTATCTGAAATTCGAATTCCCCGCATTACCAGTTGCCTTCAATTTTCTGTACTCCTGCAATGAAAGTTTACAACATCAGCACAAAAACGTACTTCATTCGCAGCGGCCAGCTCATCGTAGAGTGACCAGAACAATGACGGTGATAAATTCAGTTGCGCACTTAACTTTGAGACTGGCGTAACCCTGCAATCGATGTTATCATGATTGATATTGACAACAGATGCAACTGATAAGTGAATAAATAGACAAATGGCATTCAACTGTTAACAATTACTGATTAACTTTACACAGGACTATGTGAACTTATAATTTGTGTGTTAGACTTTCATAAATTACACAATATTCCTACACGTAAGTTCACCTATCTCATACCTATTCACAGAAGCCATATCGCATTCTCATAACTATTTACAGAAGCCGTATCACAGGTCCCAGAAGCAATATCACATTCTTTATAAGATTCTCATAGTACCAACATTAAAAAAATTCCAATTCGCAGTTTCCAATCTAACTGCTATATGGAATAAAATCAATCAAATAATAATAATATTTTATTCGCATGTCAATATGTATAAAGTAGTATAATACAGTTTAATACTATCTGGCATACTTTAATACTATAACATATTAATATAATACTTCAACATATTATAATCTGGCAATATAACATATTAATACTTTAATACTATAAAGTAGTATAATACAATACAAATAAACAAATTAAATAACAAACTTTGTCAAGGAGTTGAGTATGGCTCTGATGTAATTCAGTTGTGAATGAACGTAAGCCCGTGTGTAAATTGTATCACCTTCTCGCATCGCATCGATTTTATTACCAATTTCAGTGAGCACCAATGTGTACAAAATCTCACTTGGCAGATCCCAATTTTTGGCCAGCTGCGAAACTGACAAAGCTCCGGTCTCTGCGAGTCGTTCATTCAGCTCTTTGCATAGCGAATCTATGTAATCTCTTAAATCGGTGATATGTTTAATTGTTAGCAATTGTGACCAACACACACAATGTTTACTGCTGTCATTATTATGATCACTGTTGCTAGATCATAATCGATACAGAACTGAAATTTCAAAGTCGACTACATCAAGCATTATAAGGAATACCTCGAAATGAGTTCCGCATTACAGAGCACGAATGAAGTTGACTGTTTGACGATCGAAAGAACCGAATTTTCCACGTGCTCATAGTCAACGACAAGTGTCTGCGCCAAATCCGATAATGAAACACGACCACCTAAAATTTGCAAACGCCTTTCATTACTTCATTCAACTAATCACAAATAAAGTCCTCTTTCTCATACGGACTAAGCATAAATGAGAAGAATACAATTTATCACCACACTGCTATTAGTTCAAATGATAACACTTCATGAATCGAATGCTGTTATCACCGAATTTCAATCGTTTGAAAACAAATAATCGAATACGTCATCTTTCACACAATCATTCCAATACAATGATGAAATAATCCGACGAAGGCACGATAAATGTGGAACAACTGAACAACGCAAACTCGAACCTCGTCCAATA